GAGGCGGTACAAAAAAGACTCTAAAGGATGCCTATGTATTTGTAATATTTACACGAAACTTTGTATATTGATAAATATTGACTATATATGAAGAAATATGTAGAAATAAAAATGATTTCTTAATTGAAACAAAATCTTCGATATACCATAAAACGGTGCAGTTGTGGAAGTCGTTATCGCATTATTTTTATGTTTTAATTACGTTCGAATCGAGGATTGGCTAATGATTACGACAATTTACTTATTTATCCAACATAAATTATAAATATATAATGGTAAGATCTTAAATGCCATTTAACATGTCGATAATAATACTTTATAAAATAAACATAAACATCCAATTTTCATCAAATTTTTATTTAATACTATCGCACGAGATGATTAAATTTATTAGAATTTCCTTCGTGTTTTATAAATAACTGCTTGTTGATAAATATTTGTTGATATTATTAATAATACTAATGAGAATTAATGGTCAATTTACGAACGTTATTCATGAAATATAATGAAAATAGTCTATACGGGGAAAACAAAAACTTTATTACACGATAAAGAATGGGCTGCAGTATTAGTATATACGGTTAAAATAACCATTATATTTTTTTGTCGTTTTTAAATGCTTCTCTCGTTAAGCATTTGAACGTACACATATTACGTAGTGATATAATATTATCGGAGCCATTTATTTAACATAATTACAAAATATTATATACATATTGAAATATACAAATTGCATCGTATTATAACTGACAGGGGCATTTATATTTTCAAAAATCATGCATTTAGAATGCAAGGCACCTTTTATTATACACCTTAAATAAAGATGTTACGCTTACATCGATTGTTTTAATTAACAAAATGTATGGATTCAAATGTTTTACAAACAAATTACGATGAATAATAATTACAGGTAGTGGAAATAATGACGACAAAGTATGTGAAATTATTTAATCAACTGAACGATGTGAAGACTTTAGTGTAGAACGCAAAAGAAGAAAATCACGGCCATACAAAAGAAACATAAATTGTCGAATGCTGGATGGAATGGCTTTGTGGAACGAAAGGTTAAAGCAACTTTCTAAATAATAAAAATACAAAATATACGTTGATTTTCATATTAAAAATGAGATGACAAACATTAACCGTGACTTTGGAATAAGTACGCATTAAGAAGGAGAGTAAAATAATCTCGGATGCATATCTCCGACGACGTCAACGTACGCGATGGAGAAAAGGTGCACAAAGCGTTTGAAAAGAATAAGTCGGTCGTTACGTAGAACAGATGCAGCGCGCCCGGATTGCGGGAGCGTTTCTTTTTTCCTCTCTCGAGCGCTGCGGGCATTATGACGTTGCCGGAGGTAAGGCCCTCGGGGCCCCGTCCGAGTCTCCTCAATTACCTTTCACGGAAGGATTCTGTTACGTTTACTCGAAGCCAGGACTCAGGCCCTTGGTCGAGCAAAATGGTCGCGCAAGGGTCTCGTGCGCACGCATTTGTTCGCCTCGTCGATGATGCCGTTGACGAGCGCGCACGAGATCTACGAGCTTGCGACTTGGACGTAGAGGCGATAAAAACAACGCGAATGAGCGGAAAAGAAGAAAGAACGATGGAAACGGGAGACGTAACACGCGAGAACATACAGAGAGAGAGAGAGAGAGAGAGAGAGAGAGAGAGAGAGAGACAGACAGACAGACAGAAAGCGTGAGCGAGTGCATGTGAGACTGACGGTGGCAGTGGCCGCAGGTAGGCGAGCAAAAAGTCCCGAGACTTTTGAACTATGGCGCTGGGCGTGTTCGGGTCCCTGGCACGAACGTGAAAAGGTCGGTGCCGTTCAGAGACGACGGCGGCCGTAGCGGTGGCGACAGCGAGGGGAGAAAACGCGCAATAGAAGATCGGTCCCCGCCCGCGATCCACGGGTATGTATCCCGGTGTGGCACACGCGACTCCCCTGACTTTTGCCTATTCCTTTATACGAACTCGGGGGCGTCAACGACGAAGTTACAGCCGCCGTCGTAACCGTATCGTCGTTAGGATACCGATGCGCCAGGGCCGTTTCGTATCTACGAGCAACTTTCTCTCATAGGGTATTTATTATTAGTGCCGCAGGGGATCGCACACGTTGTCGTCGTCGTCGTCATCGTCGTCAGCAGCGGCAGCAGTAGCAACAATAATGGTAGTAGTAGCAATAGTATTAGTATTAGTAGTATTAGTAGTATTAGTAGTAGTAGTAGTA